TTTTTTTTCCTCGTTTTAGGACATTTTAGGTACGTTAAAGATGCTGATTTAAAGTTGAGGTGAATACAATTCATTCCTCGGTTTAAGATTTATTTGAAAATATTTGTTGGTGTTTTAACTTTTAAATTGGATATATTTTCTATTATTTTAAAAATATATAAAATATTAATTAAAATAAATATTAAATATATTAAATAATCATAAAACCTATAATTATAATTAGAAAACAGCGCCATCGATCAAACTAACTTTCGCAATCTTCGTTTTTCACTTGTTTTTTATTTACATTGGTGCCCTTTAGTTGTCTCTATTTTCCCAAATTGGTCCTCAAAGCCCTTGTTTGCCTTAATTAAGCCCTTGTAATCTTAAGTTTAAAGATTCTTTAATTAAGTACATTTAGCAATTAATCATTGTGGGTCTCACATATAATATAACGTTGCTGCTCTGTGAAGACCCATTAATATTTTTTTATGTCTATTAAATATAATTGTACATACTTATAATCTATTTATTGGGAAAAAATATGAAACAACACAACTACATAGCATATTAATAACAAAATCGGTTCATATATTGGTTTAGTAACATTGCTTAATGTAGTAGTCAGGTGAGTTCAAAAATTTTTTTATTCAAATTACATTTAGTCAATTGCTTAGGAATATTTCGTGATTTAGTTAAGGGATTAGGAGGGTAATCCCATAATGTTGGGAAATTGTTCACTTATCCAATGCAATTTTAAAAAAAAAAAATTCCTCTGGGTAATATTTTTGAATAAATATACATATATGGGGCAAAACTAAAGAAGGTGATACCAACTTTCACCAAATTTATAATTAAGAATATAAATTTTGACATTTTTGAAATAAGGGACATGAGCTTTAAATCAGTTATTTATAATTAAGAATAATTATTTAGGACGGAAATCAATACGATATACATAAATTGCAGTAAAATCCTTATATTACATCATTTAAACAACGTAAGTTGTTCAATGTTCAATAAAATTAAAAGGTGCTAGATTTGATTTGTACGAAATGAGAGTTAAATGGATAACAAGATGAGGAACATAATTTATATATGTATGATTTAAACTTAAAATCTTTTATCTTCACTTGAAAAAAATTACTATTCAATTATTTAAATGTTGAAAAATTTGTTTAAAAAGTGTTATTAGCAGTTAGTGGTTTATGATTACTAGTTAGCATTTTTCTTTTTTGATAATCTAGTTTTTTTCTTTCTTTTTTTTTTTTGCCTTTTTGATAATATGGTTAGCAGTTAGCACATGGTAAACACGTCGCTACAAATGGTAAATAGTCGAGCTACCGTTAGAAGTAAGCATTAAATGAACCTAACGGTTATTGTATGTATCATACTAATTCCTAATTAATATGGTAGTATTTTTTCTTTTTTTTGTTAATTTACCTGGTTTTCACTAAATTCAAATCCAACAGCCTATAAGGTCACTGAAACATATTAATATCATGAAAATGAGGCAAATAACCATGAAAAAGGATCACATGCATCCATATATAACATTACCCGATAAAATCAATAATCTAAATGATTTAATAGTAATTTTATTTTAATAAAAGTAAAAGAAAAAAAAGTTTTGGATTTGAGTTGGGGTTAAAGCCAACAATAGTTCTCGTACTTTGTAAAAATGTTTATTACCGTCCTTCTACTAAGGAAATGTTCAATATCATCCCTCTAGTATACTTTTTTTGTTCAATGTCATCCTTAATTGGATGCCATCCGTTTTGCCATTAACTTTGATAGTTAATTGTCTAACAGTCAAATATTCAATTTTTGTTTATGAATTTTTCTAAGAGCACATGTTAATGATAATTTTTTGCAATAAATTTGTATAAGAAATGTAAAGGTAAATATTAATTTTAGTGTTATTATCATGTAAATAAATTTAATTAGATAATTAATAAATTAAATATTAATTTTTATTTTTTTTAAGACTCTTAACTTATATTTTAAGAATACAAATTAAAATAATCATTTATTTATTAATTTTTTATTCACTCAGTGGGACTAGTAGGACCAATTCCTTTATTTTTTTTAGTTCTATATTATTTTTTTTGGCCTTAGCATCTAAACTAATAAAATCCATTAACTCTCTATTTAAATGAGAATAAAATAGATATAAGATTAATTTTCAAAGATTAAAATGTAACAATTTAATTTTAAAAGTTCAAAAATTATAAAAATTAGTAAACTAAAAAGAATTCATAGATGACTTTTTTATATATACTAACACAATATTAGATATTTATAATTAAATCGAATGATTAGCTCAATTTGGAGAAGGAATTTTGACTGAAATTAAAGAAAATTTCTTAACTGAATTAAGATAGAAAATTCAAAAGAGTAAAAAAATATAGCCAAGAAATTTTCTTTAATCTTAATTAGATTTTTTTAGTTAGATTGAGTTAATCACTCGATTTAATTGTAGATATATAATACTATTCTCATGTATGTGATAAAACAATCCATTAATTATTTTTAAGTTATTAATTTTTTTAGTTTTTAAACTTTTGGAATTAAATTGTTATATTTTAATATTTGAGAATTGATCTTATAAATATTTTTTTCACCTTAACGGAGAGTTAACGAATTCTATTGTGGATAAAAAATTAATAAACAAAAGTTAAATATTTGACTGTTAGGCAAAAGTCAACGATAAAATGGACGGCATCTAATTAAGGATGACATCTAACAAAAAAAGAGTAATAGAGGGATGGCATTTATGGTATAAGAAAAGTAGAGGGATGACATTGAACATTTTTTTAGTAGAGGGACGGCAATGAGCATTTTCACAAAGTACGAGGACTACAGTTGGCTTTAACCCATTTGAATTGTAATGATATGTACATGGAATGAGTTAAAAAATATGAGAGAATTATTTTTTATTGTTTAACTTAAAAATAAAAAAAAAAAGTAAAAAAAACATTATCCCAATAAATGCATTCTCACAAATGCGAGTTTAGTCCAAACAAATTTCATCCAATTGAATGGCAAGTGATCAATTAGAGCCAATTATTCGTGGAACACGCAAGAATATCATCACATACAATCAAATACGCACATGGAATTAATTAGCCACACTTGTTTTTTACACATGAATTTCTTGATCCCAGAAGAATACAAGGTTTAAAGATATGCTATTTCTTGAGAAAGCTAACGATGTAGTATGACAATTTTGTCCGAACAAATTTCATCTACTTGAGTGGAGCGCAAGTGATCAACGTGAACGGTAAGTATTCAATTGGAGCCATCCATTTATGGAACATGCAAGAATTTCATCACATACAATCAAATAAACACAAATGGAATTAAACAAAATTATTTTTTACACATTAATTTCACGATTGTAGAAAAAAAAAATTTAATATTTGTTATTTCTTGAGAAAGCTAAGGATGTAGAATGATAAGTTGTAGCCGAGTAATTTATACATGACTTCTTGGTTGGTTACAACTTATTGTTAGGCACAAAATTAATGTTAATTACCTCTCAAATGCTAAAACATAACTTTTTTTAAGAAATGAAATTTAAATTAAGTCTTCCTATATTAAAGTAATTTTATTTTAATGTGAGTGTTTTTGAACCCTTATGAATCCTACTTGACGGTCAAAAAATCTAACAAACTCTTGAGCAGTTTCCTCCTAGGCCAACCGAAGCCTTTCATCATCTTGCTTAAGGGTAAAGATTGTCATTTCTTGAGAAAGCCAAGGACGTAGTATACTACGGTGTGGGATAGAGGGGAGTGGATTTCCCCAAGGGGCTTATTGTTCAAGACTTTTGGACGAGAAAATCCCATATGGGCAATTGCTGTGAAGGTTCCTAGATATTAGTTGTCTATGTTGCTATCAATCTTTCGTTTCCTTTTTGGGGAGAGAAAATGGAAGTAGCAATAGCGCGTGATTGCACGCTCCATCTTATAGTGCGAGCGTGGTGATTGCAGTTAAGGGCACAGGTACCCTTCCTTAGGTCACCATCAACCTCTGCCAAACTTGTCCTATTTTTAGCAAAACAGTGTCTTGCCATGTTTGTTTACTTATTACCATACCCTCTTTCACTGACTGAAATTGAACCCATCTTTTTTCCCCTTGACCCAATGGAGACAGCTTTCTCTCCCTTTCTCTCTCTTTCTCTCCCTTTCTCTTCCTTACTTTATCTACAGTGCTGAACTTCAGTTTGCTTGCCCTTTTGCTGGAAACCAAATCTGATGATCAGATCAGATATATCTTTCACTCTTTATAACCCAATTCATGTTTCATCCCCACTAACTGCAGCCTTTCAGGATTTCTCTCAGAGGCAGAAGGTAGCTTCTTCAAAGTTCAAACAAAGGCAATACTCAAAAACCCTTTCAAAAACAAGTGAAAAATATCATCTTTTTTTTTCCTTCCCTTTCCTCGCTTCAATTTCTCCCTTTTTCCTCTAATCATCTTCCTAGGGTTCATCTGATCTACCTCAGAAAGAGATACTGAAAGTCTCAAACCCTAGAGTATCCAATCAAAAACAGTAAGGAACATTTTTCGTCTCTGGATGGACTTGGTTTCACCAGCACCCGATCCGACTGCATATTCGAGCCCGATAGTGGCCGGGAATACCATGATAACCTCTTCAGCCAACAACACCATCATGGGTACTGGACAGACTACCTCCAGCACCACGGTGCAGCAACCACCGTCCACTCTAAGCCGCTATGAAAACCAGAAGCGCAGAGACTGGAACACCTTCTGTCAGTATCTCCGCAACCACCGCCCTCCGCTTTCCCTCTCAATGTGCAGTGGGGCCCATGTTCTCGAGTTTCTCCGCTACCTCGACCAGTTCGGGAAGACCAAAGTCCACAATCAGACCTGCCCGTTCTTTGGCCTCCCGAACCCTCCTGCCCCCTGCCCCTGCCCTCTCCGCCAGGCCTGGGGCAGCCTCGACGCGCTCATTGGGCGTCTCCGAGCTGCTTACGAGGAGCACGGAGGGAGACCTGAAGGGAACCCGTTCGGAGCTCGAGCAGTGAGGATTTACCTGAGGGAAGTCAGGGATTTTCAAGCCAAAGCTAGGGGTGTTAGCTATGAGAAGAAGAGGAAGCGGCCAAAGCAGAAGGTAGCAACATCACAGCCACAACAACCACCTCATCCTTCAGAGGCTGCGGCCGCCACTGCAACTGAGTAGCTGGAATCCTTATCGGTATTTGGTTCCTCTTCCTTTGTCACTCCCATTATCCTGTATAGAACATGTAGTTATAACTTAATTATAATCTCTTATCTCTATGCTGTCTTTGCAAGTTTTCCACAGTGTATTCTATTTGGATGATGAGAAAATATGGTGTTTTAGATTGTGGGTACACTCTGGAATTGTTTAGAGATCCCGACAGTATTAGAATGGATGTGAAGATGAAAGTACGCAGCAGTGAGCAGTCCTAGTTGTTAGGGAGCAGAGGAAAATGGAGAGGAAAAGTACCAGATACATTGATGATCATGGGGAAAGAAAAAAAAAAAAAAAACCAAATTGGTGGTTCTATGTATGAATCTAGTACTCAATCCAATTAAGATCATGATTAAGAATGCATGATATGCGTATGTACTTTGAAGAAGAACATGAAATTAAGTACTATGTTATCATTGTTCTACCTATTATCTGTTTATCTCGATCAAGTTTATTTTCCTCGTAGACATGTTTGGCCAGAAAGTAAATACATGAGAAAGTTTGCATATATATATACTTTGGGTTTTCCTTCTCTGTCTCTTTTTGTGGAGTAGACATGTTTGGCTAGAAGGAAAATAGAGTAGAAAGTTTGCATATAGTTTAGGTTTTCCTTTTCTCTCTCTATTTATGGGTGGAATTGGAGAGGAGTCATTTGCTTATCCATGTATACTTCTTTTATTTTTTAACATAAATGCATACTTATGAGAGAATTGGCCAAAAAAATTGTCAAAACAGAAAAAGGTATGGCTAATGAAGGACTAGCATTGGAGAAATCATGAATAAAGTCGGTTAGGTATAAAAGTTACATTTATTTGGAAAAGAAAAACGTTTGTTAGGTGTAAAGTTTATAGAAAAGTAATGAAGGGTAAGATCTATTATTAGGCATAAAGACAAAACCTAGATTCATCTTTTCTAATATTGATGACAGCTATAAGAAAACATAACACATGTTATAGATTATTAATTAATTGGGGCCAATATAGAAATGGAATATTATCTATGTCAAAAAGAAATGGAATATTGAATTGGGCAATGGTGTTTTTATTTATTTTTTTCCCCTAATCCAGGGAGACAAGCTTTTTGGAGTTTTTATTTTTTATTTTTTTTGAGTTGCAGTTACATGCAATCATTTTTATTTTTTAACTTATTTTATTCTTATATAAGACGATTTAAAATTAAAATTTTTTATTTTTATTAAGTAAAGAAAATTATTACTAGGCTATTTAAGTACTTAACTTTAAGTATTTTTTTTAATTAAGGATACATAGAAAATGGACAATATGCTCCATCACTCGGCTGCTCTGTAATGCTACATCCCTCACTAACTGGGGTATGTTTGAAAAGAAACTTGTTTCTAACAAGCTAAATGAAAATACCAAACCACCACAGCTCATCCTTGTCTTTTCAATGTCTTCCAAGAATGCTGCAGAAGGGCTACTTCACAATCATTTGACAACACATTCCGATCCTCACCGCTCTATGCATTTCACCCAAAATCTGTGAGTAATTTTACATTTTAACATCAAGTCATTAGAGTTCTCAAGACCAGTAACAAATAGACCACATAATGCTAAATCTTCATCACTTAAAATGCTTCTTCTCAACAAGTTCGGCGTTGGAGGGTATTTACTTGTTGGGGATAAGAGGTAGCAAAAAAAAAAAAAAAAACAAGAATATTGCCAAGAACACAAGGAATTTACACGGCTGGATCCACATTACAAGAATTAAGATAATTATAGTATTACATGTGATTATAAATTTATAATTAGAAATTAATATTTGTTTACCTTATTTTCAAAAAATTAAAAAAAATTATTTTAAAATTTCGTCGTTTTAATAAAATATTATAAGAAAATGTAAAAAACACTTTAATTCATATTTTACAAATAAAATAATTTAATCTTTTTAAATAAGTGTTTATTAAAATAACGTAATTTTAGAATAATATTTTTTTTAATATTTAAAAAATAAAATGAATAAGTACTATTCTCTCATAATTATAATATATTTTTAAATAAATGAATGTATATAATATTATAAATAAATTTTTAAATAAAAAATTAATTATTTAATAATAAATTGTAATGATAAATTTATAATATTATATAATATTATAATTATATTATTTTTGTTTAAAATTACATAAGTAGTACCTACGTCCCTAGTCAAGATGAAAATCAAATCATTATCAATTATGACGATTACAAAAGATTTGGGAATCCGATTGGCTAACATAACTTAAATAGGAGTCTCAATGTCACTTGAATCTCACTACTCACGAAGAGCACCCATGATCACCAAGACCCCTCAATTCACACAAAGAGAAAAGTCTCTTACGTCACAAAGATTCAGGACACATTAGACAGAGTGTCTAGACTTTTGTTTTTATTCCCAAGGCAATTTTAGAAATTAAGTGCTTGTAAACAGGATTTCGCACTTTCTTGATATCGGGTGTGAATTCAAGAAGCTTGATATGAATCCAACAAGTGAACTGATCAAATCAGAACTCTCTATTGCTTGGATTCATACTCATCCAAAATATATTTAAATATAATTTAAAAAATTTAATAATAATTTCTCTTCTTCATTAGTAAAATAGAAGATCATAAGTTTTAGTCCTACGCATTCGGATAACGAGGTGCCTTTCAGGCAAAAATTCAAGTGGTGAGCAGATAATGAAATGAAAAAAATTATTTTTTTATTATATAATTCAAAATTATTAAAAAAAAAAAAAAAGCTACAAATTTAAAGTAATATGCTTAGTTATCTGGATTCGACTCTAGCAGGCCTCGTCTCGAATCAACATGAACAAACATCACAAATCTCTACTTCGACTTTATTTTTAATCGAGTCTCCATAATTAATCTTTTGATTAGCTCCACCTTCGTCAAACACAATGCGCAAACTTTCCAGAAGCTTATACATGCCAAGGGCATACTTGCGCACCGAAAAGGCCTTGGTCAACAAATCAACCAAGTTACCCTCCATGCCAATTTTCTTTACAACAATCTCATCTACGAACAAACAACAGAACTATAGCTCATAATTATTTAGTTAGTAGTAACAAATGTTTTTAAATTTTTTTTTAACTTTTTAAATTAATACACAAAATTGTTTGTTTTCTTATCAAAATTTATTTTGCCCCCATAAAAATATTTTCTAGCCCCTCCATGCCTTTACGCACCATTAGTCTAACTTTATGTCCATCCCATTTAGCGACACATTAGCCTTCTATCTCTTATCTGGCATGCCACAATGGCAGTAGGCAAAATATTCCCACTCAATATAATAAGGGCCCCGCTCTATCATAGCCATTGTAGCACACCAAGTAGGAGAGAGAGGATGCTGATGTATCATTGAGTGAGATGGACATGATATTTGACTAATGCCCAAGTGAGAAACACATCTCAAATCCATTAGTATAAGAGTGAATATTTCTAAATCGTGTTGTTAAGAGGCTAATAATCTAACAACACTAATAATCTTAAATTTTTAAGTAAAAGATCAATAATCTTAAAATAAGTTGATGGACTATAAAAGGGTTTAAGTTGAAATTAAAGACTAAATTCAAAATTACAAACTCATGATAACAAAACCCTCTAGCAACTACGGTTACTAGATGCTATGAGAGAATAACCCTCCATACATTTGTGTGGGAGATTTATTGGTGTTTTTCTTTTTCTTTTCCTCTTCCTTCTCTGTTTGTTTCAATGAAGGGTAAGAGGTTGGGAGGTGTGAAGTGGTGGTGGAATGAGGTTGTGTGCAAGTTTGGTGAATGGTCTACAAGGCTGTTGTTGCCAGTAAGGGTGTTGTGAGAGAGATCTAGTCATCACCAACACTGAATTAAATAGATCTACCTCCATCACAAAATACAAAGGTCTCCATGACTTGCCACCAACCATCCCCCATTGGCACCAATCCTCCCGGTAAACTTTTCCTTAAGTGGTTTGATTCAACATATTTGTTATAAGCTTTCTTTGGTATAACGACCTGAATCCTACATTGGTGAAAAAGTGTAATCACCACTAACAATTTAAATTTAAGTTTTTTAGAGTTTATAAACTTTAACTCAAAAAGTTATTAGATTAATAGTTGACGTAAACTTGGGTTGTTTTAGTTACTATCATTATAGTTCCTCCTCATGGATATGAGACCCTACCAAGAGAGACTTTAAGGGGCCCTTGGTTTAGCAAGAGTTTGGTGTGTGTGGACAGTGGTGGCATGGTTGGGGTTTGGCTTCCCGAAACTCATATCATTTGGGGTAATTCTTATGATTGTGGGACATCATAATGAGAATATCAATTATTTAAGTAGAAGAAATTGTAACACCCTAATCCCAAATAAAAAAAAAAAAAGGAAAAATTGAAACTCCAAATAAAATTGTAACACTTTAATCCTATATATATATAAAGATTATAAATAATATATAAATGTAAAACCCTTAAATTTTTAAAAGTTCATAAATCTTGATACGAAAAATTATTGAGCCAATAACAAATTTCGCCTCAGGTTTCATCTGGGGTGAAGATTGTTACCACAATTTAAAATTTACAATTATGGTGGGTTAGATACCGCAAACTCATTGCTAAACATAACTGCAATTATTAAAAAAAAGAAAAGAGAAGAAAAGAGAAAAAAAAAAAAAAAAAAGAAGAAAGAAAAAACAGCCACAACCATACATACATAAATAATTGCTTCTTTGATATGATATGATGGTAACCGCATGTATCATAACGTCATCTTTTGTAAGGAGTTTGAAATTTTGAATTAAGTACAAGGATAACGCACAGTCTCCATACGAATCTTTCTCTTACTTTTATCTGTCTTAAAATTATCAATTATTTTGAAATTAAAAAAAAAAGATTTTTTTGTGCCATTTAATGTAAAAATATTTTCTTATTTTTCATTTATTATAAAAATATATATATATCTAAAAATTTAGATCGCCTGTCAACTCAATGGTCTTTGTCAGATAGCCATTGCATATGACACTTGATCTACATTACAGCTTAATGATATTTTTTTTTTCAGTTTAGTGGTCCGACTTTCTCTCAATCAATTTATCCGTATTTTTTTAAATTTACCTTTTTATTCAGTTAAAAATATATCTCTCACAAAAAAAAATAGTAAAAAATTATTTTTTATTAATTAAAAAAATTAAACTTAAGTCAACAAAATAAAAAATTAAAAAACAGACCACATTGCACAAACTACATTTATAAATTATAAGTTACAACTATTATTAATTAAGATCGGACTTCTGAAATTGAAGTCCGCTCCTTTTAATATGGTAAAATTAGTTTTGAACCAAATTGGTAGTAAATAGTAATAATCGCTGTGAACGTCAGTAACCCAGCAGTAATGTTGAAACTTGAACCAGCTGATACGAAAGTTCATCAGGATTTTAGGGAGTGTTGACAATGTATTTTTATTAAATACAAATGTAATATAAATAAGAGTTAACTAGAGTTTATTTAAACTTAATTAATAATAAAATAGATACTAA